TCTTTCTCCAACCCCTCTTTCTTTCTTTTGAAGCATTTATGCATGACACTTGAAACAATTGACGACCTCAACTAACTGCATGGAGAGTGAATTGTTGAGACGATGAGGAAAATAAAATGAAAGTGCAGATCCCAATAAGCATAGATGATGGTTGTTATTTTTTGGGAGGTTGATACTTAGCAAGGGTGGAGACTCCCTTCCCAAACCGAGAGTCACCATGTGAGAAGCACACTTTTAAGTTTGTTAATGAGTAGTTATCCATTCCTCAAGCAGGGGTTCTGGGCTCTGAGGTCCTGCCTTTGACATTTACTTAGAGCTGTTTGTCTCTTCTGCTAGGGAGCAGTTGCATAAGACATCAATCATCTGAACGAGTTTGCAATGGTTTAGCTACTGGCTGTGTTCTAATACTAAAACAGCTACTCATGGTGAGGAGATTGATTGAGTAAAATGGCTAGAAAGCATCAGTGCTTTGAACTGAAAGGACAAGGTTAATAATATAAGACCTTATTGATGGCAGCAAAATTGATGGTAAATGTTTTCATAGCTTTTGAATGAGTGACAATTTGCAGGCCCAGCTTGGCCTACTAGGGTAAGGGGAGCTGCTTGATATACTTTTTGAGAATCATTCTCTCACAATAAGTTTATATGGTGCATATTGATTTTGCATAAATAGCTATGGGTTTGATGAGGGTTTGGATTATTGCCTCTGGAAATACTATACTTGCAAAACTAGTAATTGTTGGTGAGTTGGAATTTTTTTCTTCTATTATTGTAAGCAAACTGTTCTGTTGAGGAGATATTCCATTCTACACTAATTCAAATGACATAGTAATGCTGTTGATGTGCACAATTTGATGTTGTCTAGTGGTTTGTTTATCTAGTGAATGCAACGTCAATCCCATTTTTAGTGTCATTATTGTCTAGATTTACGCGAGTAATAACATTAATGTTGATTGCACTTTGCAGGAAATAACATCAATTCTTGTATCAGATGGAGTCTCAAGTGAGAAAATTCTGAAGAACCTCTGAAAATTATAGACGAGGTTCATCCTGTTGTATTTATTTTGGAGCAACAATTGATGGTGATTCTTTATTCCCACTGCTGAGGATAAAACGTGCCACTCAGCTAATAAAACCAATTTTGGAATTTTGAGCATCTTCATTGTTTGTTGAAATTGACAAATTGTAACTGCCAGCAGATAAGTTACAGGATCCACACCTCATGTTTTTAAACCCTTTATTTTTTTATGACAGAATCCCGAGTCATCTTGAATGATCCAGATTAGGACTTTTTGATGTGAGTTTTTATGAAACTGCCGCTTGTACAATTTTTTTCCAGCTCCAAAGATCGGGAATTTTATAAGCAAATACACTCCAGGATCTTTTTAAGACCGATGTACTGGAGAAATTTTCCTTCACATGGTAAAGATTCACAATATCAACTTCGCTACGAGGGATGCCAGGGTACCCATTCCCCTATTTCACTATATCTCACAGATGAGTTCTTGAGCAGCAGTCCCCGTTTCTGCTTTTTGCCTGTGGGCGTCATACTGATGCTTCAGTTGAACTGGATACCTGAAGCCTGCGAGCATCAAAGACTGGATTCTCTTAGCAATTATGTATTGGAGCACAAATGACAAACCTTACCTGCAATATATCCTGTGCTGGATGGAAAGCCATTCCAAGCATACACCTTCTAGTCTTCATTCATTATATAGTTGTGTTCCGAGATGAATTAAACCGTGCGATGCACAAATTGATCTCAAGGAAAAGAAACAAGTTATCTGAAACCAGTTAGTGGACAGTCAATTTTACCATGTAATTGTTATCACAAGTTGCTAATGAGGGTAATATGGGAGACTGAAAACCGAAGACGATACGGCGTCCACCTTCGGAAACCTAAAATAAGGTACACAACGGCCCTCTAGAATCATCCATCACAGAACCTGAAAATATGACGCTGCCTAACGGGCCAGTGCAAAGCAAGATTTACAAACGGAAAGGACGAAGCAACAAAGACTGGCCGGCGAATTGTTGATCAGATAGTTTGAATTGTGTTTGAATATAAGGAAAAAAAAATGGCAGTTGCAGGCGTCCAACAATTTCAGTGCAAATCATAGCAAGTTTTTATCCACGATTAAGTTTCGTGCTCCTCCAAATTGAACAAACAAAAAGACACGGATTTTTGGCAGAAAAGGATCTAGGCATTCTGAACACTATGAGCATTAAAATTGTTCTTGACCACCATTGTATCTGCTTGCCCTGCATGATTTTCATTGTTCTCTTCCGCATGCTGGTGAGGATGATCTTCATCTTTTAGGTGCAAATGGTGATTTTTCTCATCATCAGAGTGATGGTGTTTGTGCTTGTCATGGTTGTGTCGATGATGACCAGATTTCTTGTGCCTTAATAGTTTGTCTGCTTCTTCAACATTGTCATCTGATGACTTTCCTAAAGATCTGCTCCTCCAGCCATGCCCAAGCCCACCGGAATCTGACGACCTTGAATCCATGCTGTGTGATCTTTGACGATGCTTATTATGCTTTGCATGACTAGTCCTGTGTTCATCGCCTGACAAACCTGAATCATATGACTCAGACCGGCGATGGTGGCATTTGTGGTGCTTTGAATGACCTCTCCTCCTGATAGCATCATTGTCTTCATCGCTTGAAGAATCTGAAGCACTAGATTCTGATTGCCGTCGTCGTTTGTGATGCTTTGATCGGCTTCTCCTCTTGACAGCTTCATCATCATGGCTTGAAGAATCATTGTCGCTAGAATCTGATCTTGAATTGTGATGATGCCTGTGTCTTCTATGTTTTCTCTTTCTCCTCTCTTCTTCAGAATCAGACTGGAATTCATCACTTGACACTAAGGACTGTCTCCTTGACTTTTTCTTGGGTTTCTTTTCCCTCCTCTTCTCATTCTCACCTGAATCAAAGTGGAAGTGCTTCCGGTGCTTCTTGTGAGTTCTCTTCCTACTCTTTCTCCCATCACTGATGTCACTATCGCTATCAGTATCCGAGTTTGATACAGATCTTCTTTTATGCTTTGCCGCCTTTTGCTTCCTAACTTTGGCTTCAGCATCAGCCTTCGCCTTTGCAGCAGCTTCTAACTTCTGCTCCCATTTCAGAGGGGCTTCTTTCCTCTCCAAAGCTCTCTTCTTTTTTTCCTCTACCAACTGGATGAACTTCTTGCAGTCCATTTATATATAAAAACCAATTCAATATCTGCATCCCGGTATGATGATGACCAGAAGTACATCTCAAAGAAGAGAAAAAACAATGTTAGTTCTTCCATCACCAACATAAGCTTAAAAGGAAAACACGATGGTCAGAAAAGCAAATGGGACTGTTTTTGTTTTCAGTACAGGGCTGCTACAGGACTGTAAATTATAAAACAGCAATTATAACAATTTGTAGTTACCCATGCAATAGTTAAGAACTTAAAGCATATGAACTGAATGTTTGTAGAAGAGGACCAATAATTAATGCACGTTCAATATTAAAAAAAAGAGAGGCTGTTAGCAGATTATTGGTGCTTAGAAACAAGCAATATATATTACGAATTATGAAAGATAATAGCCCAAAACATGTATACAATCAGGCAAGTTTGATTGAACTTTCTTACCTTATGCGGAGAAAAGGAATGCCTCCTTCAAACCCAGAGCTATTAGCTCTCCACAACAGTAAGAAAAGCAAGTCTACATGGTTACCAAAAAAACAACTAAATCAGTAACAGAAACTAAACTTTAGAAGCAGACTAAGAATCAAATTGCAGAAAGAGAATGGGAGAATTTCAAATTTTTAAACATTCAAAAAAAGTGATCCTAGCAATGCTTAGTTATTTCTTTTTTTAATGGAAAGACATTTCCTGAGCACAAATACACATGTACACACATGAACATAAACCTTCATTCAATACATTTCTGACCGAATCAAGAAAATTACAGCAATGAATCCAATTATTGAATATTGTAGTTATTAAAGAAGTCTTCTAATGATCCCCATCCATTTAAATTAAATTAAAAAAAAAATTTGAAACTGAAATGTGATGGTTGTAGCCATTACAAATGGGCAAAGAATGCTATCATCATAGATTACTTAAAACTAAATGCTGAAGCCAGAACGATACATTCCTGGGCCAAGTTAAAACAACCATCGAGAGTTCATTTCCCATTCACCCAGTCCGCTCAATAGTTCATTTCCCATATACCCAGTCTGCTCCTTTCCCCCTTTTACACACATTTGTTCACTTTTCTGCAAAGGAAACGACTGTTCAACAGGGGACTACCTCAGAAGCCTAAATTAATTGTTCATCATTAACCTGCATGAATCTTTAGAAACTAAGTAATCAAGATCGACAGCTAACATTTTTATCTGCTGTAAGAACCCTGGGTCATAGAAATTCGACATAAAGAAAAATAATACTAGATTCACAAGATCAAACAAGTGGGTTCAACTAGCAAATAAAAGAAAGATAGAGAAGGGAAAAGATGATGAGGAAAGAAAAAACAACCAAGACCAAACCTAAGCCCTAAAATAATACATTACCGATGAAATGAAATAAAAAAGAATCGCTGAATCCGTGAAGAATACCTTGAGAAATATTAAGATCAAAGAGACTGATAAAGAGCTTTCCGATTGGTACTAGCTTCTTCTCCCCGCCTCGCCTCAACTAGCTGCTTCTTTCTTTCCTTTTCCTGTATGCTTGACCTTTCAAGTTCAACTGAGGCGGCATGCCAATCTAACGCTCTCTTTCTCCTTCTAGAATGATCTTCTATGTGCTGGCTGAATATATAGTGGAGTCGGCACGCGCACGCCACTTCACTCGTGTGAGACGCGTGCCCCTCTCTTTCTTACAGTGACACTGTCTCAATTTTTCAAACGACATAGCGGACACGGTGATCCAAATCTTTTTTTACCATCAATGTTTTTTATTGATGATAAAACTCTCCGGAATTCAAAGCGAATAACAGACCAGAGAAAAATAGAAAATAGAATACAAAAATAAAATGTGTATTCAGTGATGATGTATCAATTCAATTTTTCCGAGAAAAAACAGAAGGCTAGAATTGAAAAATTATATATTTTCGGCTAGAAAACGACCCCAACCACCTTTCCACCTATCAATCAATGCTTGAATAGCATGTTCCTTCGGACGAGAGTAGTTGCTAGAAATATATATTTTTTACAAATTCATTTAGATTGAGTTGTGAAGCATTTGAAGAAAAACAATTATCTCCAAACTTTTGATTCCAAGTCATCCATGTTGATGAATTTCTAAGAAAAAAGTTTCTATATTTAGTGTCGACCCTTATAATATCATGGTTAATAGCATGCTTGGTTTTAAAATCATAAAAATAAACCCCCTAATTTGGAGCAAGAAGAAGATTATTTAATTTTTTTTAAAAAAAAAACATTAGTCAAGTGACCTGACAAAATGGAGAGGCTAGCCCAAGCAAACTAGAGACGAGCAATCTATCTGGGTTGGTCAAGTGAGTTATAGTTTTTTAAGTACTTATTTGATATTATAATAATTATTGTTTTTTAAATGTTTTTTGTTTAGAATTGTTAGGAATT